AAAATCAGGCGAGGAGGTTGTGGGGCGCGGTGAGCCGGGAGCGCTTTGTGCCGCGGGCAGCGCCTCGGGAGCGGTGATGGGAGAGCGGCTGCGCCCTGGGATCCCGGCGGGACCGAACCGAACCGAGCCGAGCCGGGATCCCCGCGGGACCGAACCGAACTGAGCCGGGATCCCGGCGGGACCGAACCGAGCCGGGATCCCGGGACCCCGCTCCGCTCCGCCGCGCTCCAACTCTTCCCCTTTAAAACTCCTGCTGCCGCCCGCGCTGACCATGCGGCTGGATTTATGGAGAGAGATGTTTTAGCAGAATCCCCCCGAGTCCCCCATCAGCCCTAAATCCCCAGCCCGCGCTCCCCGGGAGCCCTCCTGACACAGAGCATGCCAAAACAGCTTCGTTTTGCCTATGCATTAGCAATCTATTTTACCTTTTTGACATCTCTCACACATAAAACCGTAAGAGAGAAATAAAATATCTGTCTCTGGGCGAAAATAAAGCTTTGCCTCCCTCCTGATCTATAGGATATAAAATAAAGCCATGGCTTTGATAGTGGCTTTTCCTTAGACCGGAGTTGCTTTTGCACACACGGAGACAATGAAGATGGATGAGCCGGGAGCGCTGCGTCCTCCGGGGGTTCGCTTCACCCTCTTTTTTTATAGCCCCCCCTCGCCCCCTCTACCTTTCCACTTTTCTTTCTTTTCTCTTTTATTCGCCTTTTATCTGCCCTTTACCGAGTGCGGGATCCCGCTCGGCTGTCCCGCAGCCGCATCCCGCCGGGCTCGGCCCCAGCCCCGGGCTCGGGGACACCCCCGGACACCCCCGGACACCCCCGGACACCCCCGGGCCCTTCCCGGACACCCCCGGACACTTTCCCGTCAGTCAGAGGCAGAGCCGCGCTCCTCGGATTTGTAATTATTTATTAACCGTATTTCCCATAAACAATGCATGAGCTCGGAGTGTAAGCGACAACATTTAGCGACGTGGGCAGAAACCCGGGAGGGTTAATCACGGGGCTGGGGGCAGGAAAATAAATAAGGAAAAGGAAAATAAATAGAAAAAATAAAGGAAAGGGAAAGGCGAGCGGAGCCGGGGGGCGACAGTGCGGTGGTGTTTACCCTCAGCATCGACCCGAGTGTGGCAGGATAAACTGGGACTTTCTAATACATAATTTAAAGATCTTTTTCTTCTTTCTTTTTTTTTTTTCCCAAGATCTTTTAAAACAAACCTGGGGATGGATCCTGTCCAGCCGTGGGGTTTATGGTGCGGGGATGTTCTAAAGGCTTAATTACATCTTAACTTCAATATTTGGCCAGAGCATTAAGCGCATATATATTTAATCAGGCGGAGGCGCTCTTTCTGCGGAGGAAGGTGCTGGGGCCGGGGGGGAGGTGGGACCCGCACCCACCTTCGCTGTCCCCCACACTGGAGAGCCCCGGCCCCGGTTCGCGGAGCGGAGGGGTCGGAACGGGAGCTCGGGGCCGCCCCCGCCCCGTCGGGGCCCCGCCGGTCACCGGCCCCGAGCGGTCCTGGAGAAAGGTTTAAAAGGAGGGAAAAGAGAAAATCAAATTTAAAATGAATGGGAAAAGAGGGAGAACTCAGCGCTGCCGGGGGATGGATGTGGGGAAAGCGCCTGTCGGTGCACGGGAGGGAAGTTCGTGCCCGGCTGGGGATGCGGGGATGCTCCGCGAGGAACGCGGTGCGCTCGGGGCTGATGCGGCACCGGCACCCCTAAAGGAGAGAGAAATCCCATTGCTGAGCGCAGCGGTGGCCAAAGGGGATGATAAACAGGGTGATGGTTAACTAAAAACACGGGAACGACACCCATAAAATGCAAATTTAAACTCGCCTGAAAGGGACTTGGTTTTTTCCCTTCGGTATTAGATTTAAAATGAATTAGAGTTTGGATTTGTTTGGCGGTTTTGTTTGGGGTTGTTTTACTCTTTTATTTTACCTCTCTCTTTATTTGGGTCTCTCTCACAAGTCACTATTTTACTTACACTATTTTTTAAAATTTTTTCCCCTCTTGTAATTTCCATCCTTAAGAAAAAAAAATCCCCTTTTAAAACATCTGCTGATTTCCCTTTTTCCTTTCTTTATTTTGTTTTTTTACTCTCTTTATGTCCCTCCTTTCAGCAGCGGGGCCGGCTGGGGTTGCTCTGGAGCATCCCGGCCGCTCCCCGCGGGGCTCGGGAGGGGGAACGGACCCGGGCGAATTGAAAAATAGAGCGAAAACCAAAAACTCGCCCGTGCCAGCAGCCGGCCCTCCGAGGGGGCGGCACACGGGGGTTCCCCCTCGGGCTCCGGGGGTGCCGGGGGTGCAGGAGCCGGGGCTGCCCGGGGGTGCCGGGGTTGATTTTCGGACACAAGCGCGGGGGATTTGGCCTCAAACGCCTGCTCGGGCCGGGATCCCCGCTGGGGTGGGGCAGAGGGGACGCCTCGCTGTCCCCGCTGTCCCCTCCTGTCCCGAGCGGGGCTCGGGGGGTTCGGGCGGACAGAGCCCCCCCGGGGAGGGCTGGGCACGGCCTGAGCCCCCGGCAGCGGGGCAGAACCAGATGCTTTCGCTAACGCCTGGGAAAGGAGAAAAAAGCATCGCTGTGAAAAACTGGCGCTTGATGGACGCGAGCTGCTCACCGCCTTCCCCTCATTCATCCCAGCGCCACATGGTCCCGGCAGCGCTGCCCTGACGGCAGCTGGCGCTGCCCGGGCGGCGGAGCGGGGCCGCCCCATGAGAAGCGCCCATGTGCGGGCACCGGGCGGGGCGGGCCCGGCCCCATTGATCCCCGAGCGAACCGACAGCTGCGCCGGGAGCCCCGACGGGGCCGAGCGGGACAGCGGGACCCGGCCCGGGGCATTCAAACACCCGCGGCAGCTCCGAGGCGATGGCCCGGCCCAGCGCAGCCCCGAACCGCCGCTCCCGGCCCGGGCACGCTCGGCATCCTCGGCTGCCCCCCGCGCTGAGCGCGTTTGCTGCCTTCCTTCTTGTGTCTTCCAATTTATGCCTTCCCGCTTTTATTTATTTTAATTTTTTTTCCCCTCTCAAGGACGAGGAAAACAGACGTGCAAGAGAGCGAGGGCAGTGGATCCAGGCGGGGGATGCTGCGGGCCTCCGCCATCCATCCCCGCGCCCGGCCGGGCTCTCGGCGCTGTGCGCACCCCCGGGCACGCTCGGTCCCTTCCGTCCCGGGGCTCGGCCCGCTGGGACGGGGAGCGGGGCCGGGAGGGGCCGGGGCCAGGCGGTGACACCGCCCCGGAGCGGCGGCTCCCGACGGGCAGCAAAGCGCCAAGGAAAGAGAAACCTCGTCCCTCCGCACCGCCCCGCTACCGACCGGCCCCTGGAAGGTAAAAGCGAATTAATTTTTATTTACCAAAAAAAGGAAAAATAGAGAAGGCACATGGCGGTGGCCGGTGCTCCTCGGTCCCGGACGCGCGCTGCGAGCGCCGGTAACGGAAGCACGGCGAAGTCAGCGGCGGATCCGCCGTGCCCTCGGCGGTCGGGTGGCCCCGGGCCCGCCGCCCCCTCCCCACCGGGGCGGCCCCGCCGGAGCGTCCCGGGCCGCGGTCCCGGCCCCGCCGCAGCGCTGCTCCCGGGGAAAGCGGCCCGGCCCGGGGTTCCGCTGCACCCCGCGCTCTCGGGGAAGCCACGGCGAGGCGGGATCTCGTTTGTGGCCGGTGCCAGCGCGGCGCTCTGCGGCCGGGTCTGTCTAACGGATCCGTGACCCCGCGGGGGTGCCAGACCCCACCGAGCGGCCGCGGCTCCTCGTGCGCGCCGTGCCCGCGTCCGTGCCCCGTCACACACCTACCGCAGATCGCGCTCGGGGGCCGGGCCGGGTGTCAGTGTGTCTGTCGGTGTGTCGGTCGGTCGCTCGGCGGGCCGGCGGGCGGAGGCGGCGGTGGCGCCCCGGCGGCTCTATAAAGGGGCGCGGACGCCCCGTCCGGCGGCGGCGCGGCGGGCGCGGGGGGGCGGCGCTGGCGGCGCGGATTGGCCGCGGCGGGCGCTGACGTGGGCGCGCGGTCCATAAGGCTGCGGCGGCGGCGGCGCCGGGACCATGCAGAGCCCCTGCGCGGCCGGACGGCGGGGCCGCCCCTCTGCCCCGCGCCCTCCGCCCGGCCCGGCCCGGCCCGCCCGGGCCCTGCGCTCCGCCACCGCCGCGCCATGCCACGCCGGGGACACGGGCGGCCGCCGCGGGTAGCGATGCGCGCGGGTAGGTAGGACGGACGGACGGACGGACTGACGGACGGACGGACAGAGCCGGGCGCGACGGTGCCGCCGAGACGTCGAGGGAGAGAGAACGAGGAGAGAGAGAGAGAAGGAGAGCGAGCGGCGGAGCGAGGAGCGGCGGAGCGTGTCCCCGTCCCCGCGTCAGGACGCGCAGGGCGATGTCGCCGCGGCAGCAGCCACAGCCCGTGTGACCGCCACCGCCTCTCCATGCCCCGGCTCGTTATTTATTATTATTATTATTGTTGTTGTTGTTATATTTTTTCCTCCTTTGATTTCTCATTGGGAAAAGCACTTTGACTCCTGACTGCTCTACCTCAGACCTTAGAAAAACTCATCACGCTCGCTTTTTGGCGGTTTTATTTTTAATTTTTTTAATTTTTATTTTTTCTGAGCGCCGATCTTTATAGCCGTAATTGTTTTATTGTTACTATTATTATTATTACTATTATTATTATTATTATCCGTGTGGTTGGTAGCGGCCGGGATCCTGCGGCTGTGTCGAAGCGCTGGGCAGTGGGGGGTTCTCCTGTGTACCCCTTCTAGGACACTCGAACGAAGATTTTTCTTCTTCCTCCCTTTCTTTTTATCCTTCTTCACTTCTCCAAGGCTTTTAAAAGATACGTACACAAAAACAAGAAAAAAAAGAAAAAGAAAGAAAAAAACAAAACAAAAACCAAACCTTCGCCGGTGTTGTCGTCTTTCTAAAAAAAAAGAATTATTTTTATTTATTTTTTTCCTTGATACCTGGGAAACCGCTGCCCCCCTCAGAACTAACCAAAGACAATGGTTCACTGTGCAGGCTGCAAAAGGCCGATCTTGGACCGGTTTTTGTTGAATGTACTGGACAGGGCTTGGCATGTGAAGTGTGTTCAGTGCTGTGAATGTAAATGCAATTTGACAGAGAAATGCTTTTCGCGAGAAGGCAAGCTTTACTGCAAAAACGACTTCTTTCGGTGAGTACCGGCCTCCGCCTGCCCCCGCCGCTCCTCTCCGTTCGTTTTTCACCTCCATTTTTTCCCTTTATTTTTGTTGTTTTCCCCGTTGTCAGCGGGACCCACGAGCGCCTCTTCCCTCCCCGAGACACGCGAACATCTCAAACCGCGGCGGCTCCTCCGGGAATCCCGGGGCAGGGACGGGCGGGGGTCGGGCCCGGGTCGGGCCCGTTGATGTCGCCGCTCTCCCGTCCCCCGGCCGAGCTCGAGTTGCCCGAAGTTCCCTCCGAACTATCGAGCGGCGCTGCGGGCCGGGCCAGGGGCCGGTGCAGCAGAGCGGGGCTGGCCCGGCCGTGAGCCCGGCGCTGTTCCCGGTGCCACCGGCGGGGAAGGCGCGGTGCGGGCGCTCCGCGGGCCCAGCGCATCCCGGGCACCGGAGCCAGGCCGGCCCGAGGGCAGCGACCCTCCGCCGGTGCATGGATGGATGGATGGACAGGGAAGCGGTGACCGACGCTCGCTCGCCGCCGCTCTCCCCGCGCATTCCGGCATCAATCCGGGCTCGGAGCGGCCGCCGGTACCGCTGCCCGCCCGGCCCCGCCGCCGCACACCGGCGGTAAGGGCAAGGACCGGCTCAGGGCCGGGGAGGCCGCGGAGCCCCCGCCGCACACCGGCACAGCGCGTCTCCGAGCCCGCCGCTTCTCCCTGGGCACGGGGACGGCACTGCTTCGAGCTCCATCGCTTCATCTCCGGAACGGGCGCGGCACCGCTCCGGTCCCGGTTCCCAGAGCCCTGCGGGGCTGAGCGGGGCCGGGAGGCCTCCGGCTCCGGCCCCGCCATCCCCCGGCTCTCCCCGCCGGCCCTGCCCGCACCGGCGGCTGCTCCGGCCGGAGTGCCCCCGAGGCCGGTACCGACACACGGAACGTGTGGCATTCCTGCGGGCTGTTGGTCACACAGAACGTGTGGCATTGCCGCGGGCTGTTGGTCAGAGCGCCCTTCGTGCGGGTGTCGGGGCGCGGGGACACCCGGGCAGCGCAGCCCCGGCGTTCGGCGATCCCGACCGCTGCCCAGGCCGGGTTTGATTTTTGTTTTGAAAAGCGGCGATATCGGGGAGAGGGAGCGCTCTGCAGGGATTGCCGTGTTTGGTTTAACGCCGGTTTCCGCGGCCGAGCGGGGTGTGCGGAGGCCGCGGTCGGGCCCCGTTCCCGGGCGCTGCTGACGCTGCCGCCTCTCCCCGCAGGTGTTTCGGGACCAAGTGCGCGGGCTGTGCCCAGGGCATCTCCCCCAGCGACCTGGTCCGCAGGGCGCGGAGCAAAGTGTTCCACTTGAACTGTTTTACGTGTATGATGTGTAACAAGCAACTCTCCACCGGCGAGGAGCTCTACATCATAGACGAGAACAAGTTTGTCTGCAAAGAAGATTACCTAAATAACAGCAATACTGCCAAAGAAAACAGCCTGCATTCAGGTGAGGAGCGCGGCCGGGGCGATGAGGGCGGGGATGCGCTCAGCGCCGGCTGCTCCTTGGGATGAGACGCTCCTCTCCTTCTTCCTTCTGTCATCTCCTTTCTGCTTTTCCTCCTTTCTCTCTTATCCCTTGTCTTCCTCCTCTCTCTTCTCCCTTCACTCTCCCACCCCTTTCTTTTCCTCTTCTTCTTGTCTCCCTTCTTTTTTATCTTCTTCTTCTTCTTCCCTTTTTCGTTTCCCTCCTTTTCCCTCTCCCCGGTCCTGCCGCGGCCCGTCCCTCGCGGTCGGTGTTTCCCCCGGCTGAGCGTGACCCGGGTTTGTTCTCCCCAGCCACCACCGGCAGTGACCCCAGCCTGTCCCCCGACTCTCAAGACCCCTCCCAGGACGACGCCAAGGACTCGGAAAGCGCCAACGTGTCCGACAAGGAGACGGGGAGCAACGAAAACGACGACCAGAACCTGGGGGCCAAGCGGCGGGGACCGCGCACCACCATCAAAGCCAAACAGCTAGAGACTCTGAAAGCCGCCTTCGCGGCCACCCCGAAACCCACGCGGCACATCAGGGAGCAGCTGGCGCAGGAGACCGGCCTCAACATGCGGGTCATCCAGGTACCGCCGCCTCCGGGCCCCGGGCACGGCTCCGGGGAATGCGAGGGCGAGGAGGGGCCGGTGCCCGGCACCCTCCGCACTGCGGGGAGCGGGGGAGCCCCGCCGGCCTCTGAAATCGTTATTACCGAGACTTCCCGGGGCTTCCCGTGCTTCCCGGGGACGGAGCCGCGGGTTTATTCGCAGAAATCCTAAAGAAGCTGCAAACAGTATCGAAATTAATAACCAGAAATGTGAGGGGTTAATGGGTAAATAAGAATGACAACGCGCTGGAATTATTAAAAGGTTTATAAACCCGCAGCGCTGGGGTAATGGGGGGTTAAAGGACCATTAAAGACGAGGTTAGATTGGAGAGGCTCAGTGTGAGGGTAATTAGCAGTAATCTTGGCAGGGTAATAAGAATTAACTCGATCATTCTTGACCCGCAGTCGGTGGGGAGCGGGGCCGCCGTCACGCGTGGGTTCGGCCGCGCTTGGAGCCGGCTCGGTGCGCACCGGGCACAGACCGGGAAAGGGAAAAGCGCAGCCCGGGATGGGGATGGAGGGGAAGGGAGAGCGCGATCCCTCCCGGGCTCCCGGGAGCGGACCCGCGGCTCCCGTGACCGGCGCCTCTCCCGCCCCGCCAGGTGTGGTTCCAGAACCGGCGCTCCAAGGAGCGGCGGATGAAGCAGCTGAGCGCGCTGGGCGCCCGGCGACACGCGTTCTTCCGCAGCCCGCGCAGGATGCGGCCGCTCGTGGACCGGCTGGAGCCCGGCGAGCTCATCCCCAACGGGCCCTTCTCCTTCTACGGAGGTGGGTACGGCTCCCCCGCCTGCCTCTGCCGTGCCGGCCTCTGCCCGGTTCCGCCGCCCATCGCGGGGCTCCCCGCAGCCGGAGGGGCCGTGGCCGCGCTGCCGGCGGGATCCCGGCGCTCTCCCGCTGCTCCCCGGTGTTTTCGGTGTCCCCGCTCTGTGTCGGTGTCCCCGCTGCTCGGCGGGAAGGGGGAGCCCGGCCAGCCCGGTCACGCGTTCCCCTCGGGTTCGTGGGTGACACCCCGAACATGCCCGTGCCGTCCCCGCTCGGTACCTGCCCGCCTGTTACCGTCCCTCTGTCTCTCTTTGTCCGCCAGATTATCAGAGCGAGTATTACGGCCCTGGAAGCAATTACGATTTCTTCCCGCAAGGACCGCCCTCGTCCCAAGCGCAGACCCCCGTGGATCTCCCGTTCGTGCCCTCCTCGGGGCCGTCAGGGACCCCGCTGGGGGCCATGGACCACCCCCTGCCCGGACACCACCCCTCGAGTGAGGCTCAGCGCTTCACCGACATCATGTCGCACCCCCCGGGGGACTCGCCCAGCCCCGAACCCAACCTGCCCGGCTCCTTGCACTCCATGTCCGCGGAAGTTTTTGGCCCCAGCCCCCCATTTTCGTCGATATCCGTCAACGGTGGTGCTAACTACGGCAATCACTTGTCCCACCCTCCAGAGATGAACGAAGCGGCTGTGTGGTAGCTTTAAACGAACTGGGTCTAAGTAAGTGATGATCATCTAGTCTGCTTATTGTTATGGTGTACAGAAATGAATTCATATAACATCTCTCCCGCCCTAAGACAATTTTACCTTGGGAACGAACTGAATCCAATCGCTCCAAGGCAAGCTTTGCTCTAGACCAGGACAATCTCCATGTTATGGTTGTATCAAACAAGCAAGGGGACTTTTTTGTACCATTGACAAAGAAACTGGGGAAGCTGTACAGTAAAAGTGCTGCCATTCCGTAGGATGGCTAAGTTTGATTACCCTGTTGGATGTCATCCTAAGAGCCACAATCCTTAGAAACTTCTCGTTTAAAAAAAAATTAAAAAATAATTGAATGAAGGAGAGGTCAAAGAAAAGGGGAAAAAAAGCTTCAAGAACTCTCTATAGCGTTCCCGGTTAAGGATGGTTCTGGCATTATGAATCTGTTTGTTCATTTTTGTCTCTCAGAAAGTTCGACAACAAGAAACTCTTTTTAGCTTCAGCCATTTCAGCCTGCTGACGATCAGGTGGGATAACTTTTCCTTTTTCCTTTCTTTTTTTCTTTTCTGTTTTGTTTCGGTTGTTTTGGTTTGGTTTTGGTTGTTTTTTTTTTTTTCCAAAAATAGCAAATACTAAATGTTAAGCCCTCAGCACCAACTCTTCTACCTTCACAAAGCTACACGTACAAAACCTCCTCATCATAGCAAAGGTCACCACCCAGACCTCTAACGAAAATGACTTGAAAAAACAAACAAACAAACAAAAAGTATTCTACCTTCGCAGAGAGAGAAAAGCTAAACAAAAAGACTCTATTGAACTAAAAACAGTCAACTGTTTACGTCTAATGTTAAATTCAGGAGCTCAATGTTTTACTAACAAATCCTGTTTTAGAAAAACCTCTTGTTCAAAAGCAAAAGATTTTGAGCAGCCAACCAAAATAGTTCATTTTCTTTTCTGTAGATGTTCTAACAGATTGCAGGGCTTGTGGTTCACTGTGCTAGTTTGTAAAAGGTGTTGTTTACAGAAGGCAAAGAAAAAAAAAAAACCCACAAAACCCAGACAGTTGCCAAATAAAGTAAATATATAGCACAAATACTGTAAGGTGCTTTGCACCAGCAACCCAAGAAAGTGTTTAAAAGTGTTACAAGGTTAAAAAGAAAAAAAAAAAAGACAAACAAACATCTTTGCTAATTTTTAGTCCTGTTGAACATTCATGGAATTGTTAATATGACTTATATAGACCCACACAGGTTTTATTTTTGTGTCTTTAAAATAAAAGTCCAAAATATTTAAATTTTATGGTCAAATATGCAGTCAACAGCTGCTACTTTTTTCTTTATATATTAAATTTCTCATATGTCTTTTATTGTTCTAATGAACCTAAGCTTGTGTGACCTCCAGTGCATATTAGACCATTCACTGTATGAAAGAAAACATGTTGGATAAAATTTGTGCGTTTTTAATAAAATTAGAAAATCTGATGTTTAGATAACTCGTGTTTCATTTGATGTTTTGAGCAATTTTTGGAAATTGATTCTCTGGAGTAAAAGAGCCCTGAGAAGGGATGATCCGCGCTGCTGCTGATCCTGGCAGCTCTTTGGCTCTGGGGAAGCCTCAGCCCTGGTGTCGCTGCACACAGCGGCCAGAGGCAGCTCCAGCCTTTCTTTCCATCTCCAGGCTCAGCTGTTGAAGTCCAAATACCCTGTTCCACAGCATTTTAAATTTTAAAATTCAGAAATAATCAAATTATTCAATATCTTCAGTTATTCGTGCTCTGTGCTAAGATAGAACATTGGAAATGCTGATTTTATGCATAAACAGAAACGCATTGAAAATGTAAAACACTTGCAAAGATACGGATTGCAATTGATCCACTTTTAGTTAATTCTCTGAAGGTAATTTTGGGGTTTTTTCTCCTAATTGGATGGTTTGGACACAGCATAGCCTCAATGTCCTGGAAGTAATTTGAATCCTTTTTTCTCAGAGCTGAGGCAGAGTCAGTGCTTTGGCGGCGTTTGCTCATTCTGAAGTTCTCTAAAGGCAGTGGGAGAGAATATTTTGCTTTGCCCTCAATGCAGCCTCATTCTCTTGGAGAAAAATGAAACAAAAAAATCCTGGAGCCTTGAGAAATGCCCAATTTCACGTTTTAATTATCAACCGTGAATATTCAGTTCTTCAAAAGCAAAATTCCCGCTGATTCCGAGAGGACCTGGAGCTGTGCTGGGGACAAAGAGTCAGGCTGGGTTCTGCAGAGCCCTGGTTTGAATGTTCCACCTGCTGGGTTAATGGAAAGGGACGAGCTGGGATTGCATCTCCTCCTTCCTCTGCTTGGGCTGCCTTCGCTTGCATTTGATGCAGACACAGAATTTTATGGTAACCCCCAGAACTCCCCGTTCCCAGTGATTCCATTATTTCTCTCTTCGGACTGGGGGTGGGAAAAGAACCAGCTCCAAATGCTTTTGAGTTGTATAGTTTGTGATTTTCAATGGTGATTTTTGATTTTGTTTTATAGCTAATTTCTATGCCCAGCCGAGGGGCCACCTAGATGAAGCAATAGTTCACTTTAAACACAAAATGTCTGATATAATAACAATATAAAGATAAAAAACTATCCGCAAGGGATCTGTTAGTGTTTCTAAAAAAATAATTCATGCTTTATTAAATACAGGGGAGACTTCTTAAACTCCTGGACTCTGTGTCTAACTCATTTGTTTGTCTTTTTTGCTATTGCCATGTTTTGTTGCTCTGGTTTGCATTTATATAAGCAGAGGAATGGGTGATTTATTTATTCCAAACTTCTACTTATCTGGGAAAGATAAATATTGCTGTTTGTGCTGCTGGGCTGGGCTGCTGCTTTATTGTTGAATCAATGATTTTAAATGAGGACTTTGCCAAATAGGTTTGTTTTGTAGGAAATTTTGAGGGGTTCTTCCCTTTCTTTCATTCTCTCTCTCTGGGTCCTTGTACAGTTAATTCTGTGTTCATTCAGGCAGTGACAAGGCTTGGTTTAGGTTGTAAAAAGGAGAGTTTGTGTTTTTGTGATGCTCCCATCGCTTCCTCGGGGCTGTGCTGGGTCTGGGGGAGCCCAGGAGCCGTTCCCATGGCCGAGGCCCAGCCCCAGCCCGTGGAGATTGGAATTCTGCTCTCCTCAGAGCGAGCTCGGTGCGTCTGAAGCCCCTAATCCAGCAACAATTGCACAGTCCAACTCCTTTTGAAAGCATTGTCACGTTGGCTTCTTGTAAGTCCTTGTTTACAAGAGCATTTCCATTGACTCCGGCGGCGTTCCCTGGTGGGTGGGTGGGAGGATGGAGGGAGGGATGGATGGATGGAGGGATGGATGGACGGACGGGAGAAGGGCCTGGGGCCATCCCGGGGTCCTGCACTGTCTGTGCACAGCCCGGCTCTGTGTCCGTGCAGGGCCTCCCCAGGAGCCCTTTGGGCAGTAACTGCTCTCTTTTGGTCTCTCCTGCTGCCTGCGGTGACCTCGGGGCCGTGTCCCAGCCGAGGGCAGAGCTGGCACTGCCCCTGCCCTGCCTGGCACGGCCGGGGATGCTGGGCCCAGCTGCAGATCCGTGCACAGCCCCTGTGAGAGCTGCTCCAGCCCCAGAAGGGCTCCGGGCTCTGCTGTGAGTACTGTCCGTGCGGGGCTGCTCTCTGGGAGGGGAATTTGCAGGGTGATCAAAGTCTGTAAAATGCTGTGAGTTTCCAAAGCCCTGCTTTGGCCCAAATGTCCCACACTGTCCCACCAAGGCTCCTCTCTGCCCACTCCCTCCCTCCCCTGGGCCCTGCTGGGATCTGTTTGCTGTTGATGGAGAGGGACTTGGGAAGATCTGTAGCCCAGGAGTAAGGATGTACTTAAATTATGATTTGTAGATAAATTATTTGTAATATTTTACTGTCTGTACCCAGGCGCTGAGCGATGGGTACAGGATACAAATTGATAAATAAATATAATTTTAAACTGTCAGTGGTGACTGACATACTTTTGCTATCCTGCTATCCTGGGAAGTGGCAGATATTGCAGTGTCCTCTCAAGAATGGTCCCTTTTGATGTAGTCTGGATTTTTCTCTTGAATAACTGTGTTGTCTTTAGGCTTTGCATGTTCTTACAATATGAAATTGAAGCATTTGCCATCTCCCTTTCTGTTCCTACCCCTAACAGATAAATTCACAACTACTAAGTTTAAACAATTGATACAAATCCTTCTGTGCTGGTGAGCTGGGAACAAGGAATTGTGATGCTGGAGCAGGTTCTGGGAAATCCTTTCTTTGTCTCTGCCATGGCATGGAGTGCTCAGCGTTCCTCATGCCAACAAAACACACATGAAGTTATAAATGAAATTAGTGTGTCCATTTGAAAATATTTTGATTATAAATCTGGGATTTGTTTATTTGTTGATAGTACTTGTGGTGGTTTAGCTACAGAGCTCGTGCTTGGAAAGCAGAGTTTGATGTGAGAGTGGGTCACTCATTAAAGGCAGAATTGTAACACAGGAAATGTGGCCTCGTGGTGAGGTGGCCTCCAAATCCCTCACTCCATGTCCCTGGGGCTGTGGAGCCGTGGCTGTGAGGTGTTCTTGGGGTGTTCTCAGGGTGTCCCTGCAGGGCTGGTCCCTCGGCACACGGGATCACAGTTGTTGTTTCTGTTGGCATCTCGTGGTTTTGTTGTGGAACATCCCCTGGTGACTCTGCTGGGACATGGCTGTGGCTGGGCTCTCTTACAGCTTCTGCTCCAGGATGTCACCAAACCCAGGGACAGCTCTGTCTCAGTGCCATGTGGGCACTGCTCACAGTTTGGGAAATCTCAGAATCCATTTTTGCCGTTTGGTTTCACCCCAAGCTCCCTCCTGAGGGATCTGACCCTGCTCGGGCTGCTGGGATCCCTCGTGGCTGGGAGGAAATCCCTGGCCCAGGTCTGCAGGGCAGGGCTGGGCTGTCCAGGGTGCCCGGCCAGGGTGACAGCTGTGGCACAGCACAGAACCTGTGGAAATCCTGCCCTGGCTGCTCAGAGCCGGGTGAGAGGAATTCCAGGGGCTCTGGGGCATTTCTGGGAGTGAAGCCTGTGGGAGAGGCTGCCTCACACTACCCTGGTGTCTGTCGTGTGCATAGGAGAGCACACAGAGGGTGGTTTGCTTGAAAATCAGACATTTTGCTCCTTCTAAAACCAGTTTTTGTCTAGTTTTTAAAGTGCCTTTGGGTGGCCTTTAAAATTCTTATCTGCTGTAAGGATCTTTGGGCTGTGCATCTCTTCAGACACACTCTGTTCTTTCTATTTTTCAATGTAGGAACCATTAAGGGTTGATAAAATCTTTAAAGCAATTGTGTTTTTTGAATGAAGGATGGGTTAGGAATAGCAGAAGTACTCAAGTAAATAAAAGCACAGAAGAAAAATACTAATAAATATTTATAAGGAGAGTTTTTTTATGTATATAATCTAAATTTTATGTAATTTGTTTTAGTGGATGGGGTTTGCTTGTGTTCTTTTCTGTTTCTCCCAAGTTCTTTTCACTTTTTTTCTTTCCTTTTCATGGATAAATTGTGTTGCTGGTTTAAAAAGGAAATTTTAACTGAACTAGCATGACTGAAACCATAAAGGTCAGTTTGGAGAAGGACATTTGTTCACCCAAGCATTGGCAGGATCAGCCCCAGCTCGTGGCTATTTTTGGCCAGCACGAGGCCCTCTGTATATGGGTCAAATTTTGCTCTTGATGAAGTAAGTCAATTAAATTCAGCAGAGGCCACTCCGGGGTGGGTAATTCCCATGGATCTGTGGGAATGCCTTTGGAATGGGCTCCTTGGAATGGCAGTGCCCGAGGGGCTCCACGCTCCCACCCCGGCCCATTCCTGTGCTCTGGTGAAGGAATGGCTCTGAACGGTGGATTCATATTAACAGCCTGTAATTGTACAGCCACGGGAGGATGTACAGCCCTTCCCTGCCAGCGCTCCCGTCTCATCTGACAATTTCCCAAAAGCTCCACGGGCACGGCAGCGAGAGACGCTGAGTGGGAGAAATTGGAAATTCTTACAGCCCAGCCTCTTCCACCTTCCCTTGTTTATCTGCTCTGTGTTCAGGTTATTCCCATCCTAGCAAAGAGGCATGTGAATAAAAAAGTAAAATTAAGAGGGAAAATGCCAAAGAGATGATGTCAGTGAGGTTGATGGAGTTTCTAAACAGGCCAAGGGTTTCTCTGAACCGACCGCGAGGCATAAAAAGCCTTTCACGAGCGTCTGAAATGAAAATGTATCGATACAGATTTTGTACAAATATTCCCTGCTCTATTCTGAGTCCCAGGCAAGGCAGCATGGTTGGAGGGCATGTGAACCAGAAATTAAAACCCAGCCCTGGAGTCTGATTTAATTACCCTGCTAAGTGAAAGGCAGAGGAGAGAGAATAAACAGCGGCAAAGGCGACTCTGTGGGCGAAATATTTTAACAATCCCCGACTTCCACGGGCTGCAGCTGCCGTTTGATGTGGCTTTGTACTGACTGCATCTCCTCCTGAAAAATTGTGAATTAACAGGTCCTGTGGCTGTGGGAGCGGGCTGGGGGTGACCCGGTGGTGAGGGGTGCCCCACACCTGAGCACAGGTTTGTTCTGCAGGTGTGAGTGATGGATGTGGCACAGAGCTGGGGGTGAGGGGTCCCCCACACCTGAGCACAGGTTTGTTCTGCAGGTGTGAGTGATGGATGTGGCACAGAGCAGGAACAGCCCAGCTCTGCCAGGCCCCCTGGGCTCACAGCTGTGGGATGTGGATTTGAATGCATTGCTGCCTTTGGGATTTATATGGAGCAATTGTCCCATTAGTTTCAGTGGGTGAAATCCTGATCTCGGTGGCCTGGGTATCAAAAACGCTGGGAATTCAAGGAGCTCATTTTTTACTCCAAAGGACTAATGCAACTCACTTGTATTTTTTATTAATTCTGCTGGGTCTGTTTTATTTAACCATCACTAAAAGCCTCTCTCCCTTCATTAACAGGGCAATTCATTATTTGTGAGGGTAGAGAACATCCCTTTTTCACTCCAAGAGTGCAGAGGTTTGAAAATGCAATTATGTAGGGGAGTCTTGGCGCTAGTTCTCTGGTTGTGTGAGTGGTTAGTTACTCAGAAGTAACTGCACAGGTAAGCACTTGTTCCTGCTACTTAATTTTCCACGGATTTATTTCTCCAGGCTCCTCCCTTTGTTTATGGCAGCATCTGGGAACAAAATACCAACAAACTCAAAGAGTACAAAAAAAGGAAAACCTAGAAGCAAAGGCAAGGAAGATACACTGTGCATGCCTCTTGGTTTATAAGTTTTCTGGGTTTTCCAATAAATAAATAATTTTTCTTTGTAAATAAATAAATAAACAAACAAATAAAAATCAGTGTTTAATTTCTCATTGCTGGAGAAGGGGTAACCCCCACCATCGATGATGCAGAGCATTAGAGCCATCCATCCTGCCGTGATAAAATAAATACAAACTCAACAATAAATACAACTCAAAACTGAGTTGGATTTTTTGCTGTTGGGTATTTTAAAGCTTGGGTTGCTGTGAAAATGTGCGTTTTCAGTAAACATTGGGTTTTCTATAAATCCAGCTTTATTCTGTCATCAAGGTACCAGTGTCAGGGAGGGTCCCAGCGGGGCTGGGAAGGGGACGGCGATGTTTAGGCTTTTCCAGCCGCTCCCTCGCGGTGCCTGCCAGGTTTCTCCCGGCGATGGGAATTCCTGATATTCCTCTGCCCTCTGTAGGAGAAGCGCCCGCATGAGCTGTGCGGCGGGATGGATCCGGCTGCATCCCGGCCCCGTCCTCCCAGCACCAGCCACATCCTGATGGCTTTTATTTATTTTATTTGCATTTAAAGGCACCTCTGGGGCAGGGAGGACAAGAAGGCGATGAGCATCAGCTCGCTCAGGTTCACAGGGAGCTGCTGGAGCCCTCGCAGGTGAATGTGGATGTGGAAAGCCCAAATTTGGAGCTCATTGTGGGGTCTGGAGCTCAGGGCTCCATCTGCAGCTCGGATTGCAGAGGCTGAAAGGGGGCTCTGCTGCCCTGGAACAAAACCCGTGCCAGTCTCCCCAATTCCAGGCAATTCCCGGAGTTTTGGGGCCACCTTAGGAGCACAGAAAGGAGCCGGGAGAGGCTGGCAAAGGGCAAGCCCAGAGAACCTGTCCCTGCTAATGCTCTCTGCAGGGATGTCTGCATCGCCTGGCTGCTGCTCCTCGGCCACAGTGCGACCCTAGGAGCCAAAATTCCTGAATTCCCCGTGGCTGGTGTAGCTCAGGTGTCACTCAGGTGTAACTCAGGTGTGAGGATCTATCTGTGAGCAAGGCCTGGCCTGAGAACGCAGCTCCGGGACCTCACTGCTGTGAGAGGGACTCCAGCAGAGGCCACAGAATATCTAACACAGGACAGGAGGAGAATTAATTCAGTTCTGCACAGCTGGAGAGGCAGAGAAAGTTTGACGTTGATTTAAAGCAATAGTTGTCATATTGTGGGTTATTAATGACACTTTGCCGCTGGTTTGGGATCCGGTACTGTGAGCCCCAGCTCGCACAGCCCTGCTGCCCACACGGGCTGCGAATCCCCTGGTAATGGCGGGGGGCTCAGGGGGGCTCCGGCTGGATCCCGGGTTCATTCCTGGTTGGATGCCGGGATCATTCCCGGTTGGATCTCGGGTTTATTCCCGTTTGGATCCCGGGCTCATTCCATGCTGGATCCCGGGATCATTCCCGGTTGGATCTTGGGTTTATTCCCGGTTGGATCTCGGGTTTATTCCCGTTTGGATCCAGGGTTTATTCCCGGTTGGATCTCAGGTTTATTCCCGTTTGGATCCCGGGCTCATTCCATGCTGGATCCCGGGATCATTCCCGGTTGGATCTTGGGTTTATTCCCGGTTGGATCCCGGGTTTATTCCCGTTTGGATCTCGGGTTTATTCCCGTTTGGATCCCGGGTTTATTCCCGGTTGGATCTCGGGTTTATTCCCGTTTGGATCCCGGGCTCATTCCATGCTGGATCCCGGGATCATTCCCGGTTGGATCTTGGGTTTATTCCCGGTTGGATCCCGGGTTTATTCCCGTTTGGATCTCGGGTTTATTCCCGTTTGGATCCCGGGTTTATTCCCGGTTGGATCCCGGGTTTATTCCCGTTTGGAAGCCGGCGGACCCGGGCGCCCCTCAGGCCCCGCCCCCTCCCCCTCACGCAGGCTCCGCCCCCAACCCCGCCTCACCTCTGGCCCCGCCCCGGCCCCGCCCCGCTCTCCCCCAAGATGGCGGCGCCCTTGGCGCTGCAGCTGCAGGAGCTGCTGGACCCCCGGCCCGCCCCGCGGGACCCCGAGGATGATGCGGAGGAAGGTGCGGCAGTACCGGGGCAGGGAGGATGGCACCGCGGCCGGCGGGGCCGGGAGGGGCCGGCGGGAACGGCCCGGGCGCTGCCGGAGCGGTGCCGGAGCGGCCGCACGTGGCGCGGGGCCTTGGGGAGGGTCGGGTTCCCGCCGTGCCCCCGGCCCGGGGCGGTCTCGGGGGTCGGGGCTGTTCGGGTCTGGGGGTTTCCTCCGCCATGGGGCTCATCCAACCCCCTGTGGGTTCGGGGATGTGTTCGGGATCGGGGTTCTCTCGGGGGCTGGGGCCACCCCCGGGTCGGGGCTGTGCTAGGCCCGGCCTGGTTCTTTGCTGCGGTCTGTGTGAGAGCGGTAGTGTCTTGTAAGAAACGTTTTAATAACTGGAGAAGTCACCGTGGTCAGCAGAGACGTTTGCCCATTTTAGTAACCATAATTTTGTCCCAGATTTCGCAGAATCCCAGACTGGCTTGGGTTTGGTGTCTCAGAGCCCACCCAGTGCCACCCCAGGGACATCTTCCACTGTCCCAGGCTGCTCCAAACCCGTCCAGCCTGGCCTGGGCACTGCCAGGGATCCAGGGGCAGCCGGGGCTGCTCTGGGGAGAGCTGCATCCCGTGGTGGATCCAAGAGGATCCCAGGAGGTGGCTGGAAGGATCTGCCCCTCCTGCCCAGCATTTTGCCATCCTGTGCTGCCTGGAGTGGCTGTACTTTGTTGCTTTGGTTATGAGCAGATTTTTTTGCCCCCTGTGCCTCTCACAAACACTCCAAGCGGGGCATTAACATTTCCAAACACTCATTAGGAGCACTCGGGGATCTGAGTCGCTCACTGCCCACAGAGCCGCCCCTGTAGTTTGGCACAGGGTGCCTTGCCCGTGAGTGGGAAGGGAGGGAGGAGAGTGGGATGTGTTCTCTGGGCTGGGCTGCCCTGCTCTGTGTCCTGCAGGAGATGGGGGTGAAGGAGGGCAACAACCACAGTGAAATGATTTCCTCTGTGGAGCTTTTCTGAAATGTTTATGTGGTTTGTAAATATAGCAAGAGGCCAGAGTGCTGAATTGGAGTTTTCCTCTTTAACCTGCAGGCATGAAGTGAGTGAAGGCATTGCAGAGTCACGAAGGGCTCAGAGACCCTCCTGCATCCCTGGGAGGGCTTGGATGGGCTTAGTTCATGTTCTGCTTCATGCAGGAGTCTCTCCCCCTTGCAGGGAATTATTTGTGTGCCTTTGCTGCACTTCCCCAAGCTGCTGCTCCCCTGTGCAGTGCAGGGGGGAAGCTCTTTGGTTCTTCCCAGGGCTCCTTCCAGGCTGGGATTCAGCTCAGTTTCAAACACCCCTTCCCTTTTCTCCCCCCACAGCTACAGTTGCTAAAGTGATTGACAGGTTTGAGGATGAGGGCACGGATGACATTTTGCCTGTTGGCAATATCAGGAAGAGAGCCTCAGCCTCTCTCCTGGAGGCTGATAAGAGGTACAGTGGGAAGGCCACGTCTCGGAAGGCTCTGCAGGAGGAGCTCTGGGGAGATGCTCTGTCTGAAGAAGCATCTGGTAAGAAATCTCTTTTTTTTCCCCCCCTTTTTGCTGGCAGAGCATGATGTCAGCTCGTGACTGAGCATGGCAAACCTGTCACAGGGCAAGGAACAGCCACAGTTGGGCTGGACATCAAATAGCCAGACCTGAGCTGATGCTGGTGAGCTTTTCTGCCAAGTAAATAACTTTTTTCTCTCATTTATCAGCTGAAGAAGCACTGGATGACTGGTACAGTGCCAGTGAAGGCTCAGAAGAGGAGGACAGTGCTGGCACCAAGGGCAGGGAGAAGCCCAGCAGTGCTGGCAGTGAGCAGGAGGAGGACCTGCAGGATGAGGAAGAGGATGATGAAGAGGCCAAAGCACCCAAGTTCAGCTCCCAGAACATCACAGACTTTGAGAAGTTTACAGAGGGCATGGACGATGTGGGGAGCAGTGAAGGGGAGGATGAAGACGAGGATGAGGATGAAGATGATGCTGACATGGAAGATGGAAACGAGGAGGAGGTGGAAGAGGAGGAGGAATTTGGGAGTGAGAACGACGATGATGGAAAAGAAGCCAAAGACAGTGAAGACGATGGGGGAGTGCTGACCTTCTCCAGAGGACAGGAGTCTGAGGAAGTGGAGAAGGGCAAAGCTGTGAGGAACCAGCTAGGTTTGTGCGTGTTTGTGCGTGTTTGTGCGTGTTTGTGCATGTTTGTGTGTGTTTGCTGTGTGAGAGCAGCCTGAGCCCCTCAGCATGGTGCAGCTGCAGCAGCCCCTGTGTGTGCAGATGTTCTGCCAGATGTTCTGGTGTCCCTGCTGCTGGAACAGCTCCTGGTGGGAAGTGTATTTATCCATGAGCTCAACTGAGCCAGTGCTGAGTGTCCTCATGGGACCGCTGGGTTTGGGAGCTCCCTGCGCTGCTCCTGCTGTGATCACTTTGATTCTTTCCAAAGTGTCACTCCCAAAATGCCATTTCTTCTGTCTGAGCTGTTAAACCATCAAATCTTAGAAGCAGTAAAGCAAAGGGGGGGTTTGGTCTGTGGGTCACAGAGCTGCAGTTGGGATTTGCCTTGTCCAGGGACAATTTGTGGCTCCCATTTCGTGCTCCAGTGCCTGCCAGGGCTGCCCTGGGCAGGAGGAGAGGCCTGAGCTGCCAGGCCCTTCACAGGAACCAGTGCTTTGTCCTGCTAACTGAGTCTTTCATTTCCTTTCTGTTTGAAGCCCTGTGGGATCAGCTGATGGAGGGGAGGATCAAGATGCAGAAGGTGCTCCTGACAGCCAACAGGCTGCCCCAGCCAGACACCTACCCCAGGTTCAGGAAGGAGGGGGGACAGGACTTTGACCACGCTGTGGAGAACTGTAAGAGCCTTTTAATCTTTCTCCCTTGCTCAGACCCTTACAAACAATTCCCCATTGCTGTCCAGGGCAGAGCTGGGTGCTTTGTCCAGAGACACCTTGTGTCAGGTGTGTGCTGGGCCAGTGAATGCTGGGGTGTGCCCAAAGCAGGAGCAGGGCAGCCCAAAGGAGGGGCTGTGCCCATGAATTCCAGCATGGAGCCGCTCCATCTGTTCATTCCTGAGTCTGTTCTGATGAGATCTGTGGTAGATTCTCCAGTGTGAAATCATCACATGCTGCAGTGGGTGAGTGCACAGTACTGGGTTTCAGTGTGTGTGGGTCTGTTCCATTTTTATATTTGGACACCTTTTTCCTGGCCTAGAGGTGAATGCAGGGGCAGGGAGATGTCTGGGTGATCAGACATGCCCTGAGCCTTGGCCCTGCAGCAAGTTCTGCCTGAGCTCCTCTGCCTCAGGGCAGCCAGCTTACCTGCAGTTACAGGTGAGCTGCTTTCTGCTTCAAAGTTGGCTCTGCTGCTTGAAGTGAAGTGATTAAGGACAAAAAGGCAAACTCCCACCAAGGCTGTGCTGACCTTTCAGTGGAACACACGTTATTAATGTCCTTAATGAGATGCATTACAGGCTGCCCCAGCTCCATGTTTCATTACAGGTCTAAGATGCAATATCATTAAAGACCTTTAACAGAAACAATGGTTGACATTTTGGTATTTCCCATAAGCAAAATACAGCCAGGAGCATGGAGTGTAATGTCCCCAGTGCTGCAGAGGCTGAGCCCTCAGTTGTGCAGGGCTCTGAGGGAGCCTGCACTGCTCAGAGGTGCTGGATGGTCCCCTCCTGACCTTCTCCCCATCATCTGGGCAGGGATATGTTCTCTGATGTTCCTCCTAGCTTGGGTTCCTCCTCATCTGTGAGCACAGAGCACAGAGCTGGAGTGACAGGGCAGTGTTAGCAGGGGAAATCTCAGGCTGACAGATGGGAAATGCTGGATTTAGGAACATTCCACCACTGCTGCTGCACTTCAGCCTTGGGCAGGACTGGGGCTCATCATGGCCTGGATGATGCTCTCCTTTCAGGGCAGCCTCAGCACTTCTGCCCAAACCCACAGAATAAATCTGGGATGTTTTCATCACCCTCACTGAGCAGGAGGGAATGATTTGGTGCTCCAGGTGCACAAAAGACTGGGTGCCAAAATCCCAGACCCTGGGTGAACATGCAGGATGCTGAAGTCAGGAGGCTCCCAGTGCTCTCAGAGCTCCTGGACAAGAGTGTTTCCAGTCATTTTCCCCCAAATCTTTCCATTTCTCATGAAATTTCTGCGCTGTGCTCAAAGGAAGATTGAATCTTTTGAATTGGAAAATGGTCCTTTGTGTGTTTTCCTCTTGGGTATCTCCTACTCAGGACAGCCCTGTTGTGGTGCTGGAATTCCCTAAGGGCCAGAGTGTAATTGTGTTAAAGAGCAGACAGCAATTCTCCATCCATTTGCAGTTTTAAAGCCAAACCTGGGTGAAAATGGCAAGGTCATGCTTATTTTCCAGATTTTGAGACCGGAGGAGGTTACAATGCCTAAAATGTTTAATTTATTATTTTTGTAATCTTTTATGATTTTTTTTTCCCTTTGAATGTTACAACATGCTTTGGACAACCTTAGATTCCTGAGATCTCAGGTTCTGGTAGATGATTTACTGCAAAATTGCTTATAAATTGAAGTAGAAAATGTTTTGCAGACCTGGCAGCTTTCAGGCTTCACACCCATTTGTCACCCAGCATTTCCCTTTGTGTATAGAACAAGAATTAATTAGGCTGCACTGCAGGAAAAGTTTATGGCCATAATTTATATAGGATGAATTTCTGTTTAAAGAGACAGCATTGCTTTGTTTGTGCTGTCTTACTTTTTATTTCCCTTTTTTTTAAATCTTTAATTATATCCCAGATTTTTCTTTTCTGTCACCCTTTTTACATACAAACGGGAGACCAAACTGTGGGCACGGAGCTCATGTTTATTCCTGCTTTGCACCCAAGTCTGGGTGGTTTTTAGTGCTGAGATCAGAGTGGCTGAGCCCTGAAAGCAGCACAAATGTCCAGTGTTTAATGTCCTGCACACACAAACCCTCCCAGCTCACAATTCCAGGGTGCTGGGCTGTTCCTCAGGACAGATTTGTATTCCCTGCTCTGCGTCTCCCAGTCTGGTCCAGGGCTTGAGATGTTGCCTCTGTTTGGGGTCTTGCACGTTCAATTAATGTTTTTCATAATCAATGCGAGTCAGAATTCGCAATCTGCTCCTGATTTGCACATTAAAGAGACCCATTAATTAAAAATTCCAATCCCTGGCATGTTCCCGCAGGATCCCTGCGTTATTTACATAGGAAAGGAGTGCAAGGTGCAAGTTTCTGTGTGGGGCTGTGCACAGATTGCAGGCTTGCCACCCATATTTCACTGTGCTGCCAGCCTGGCAGGGCAGCTCCTGAAATTGGCCACAAAATCCCCTCAAGGGCAAGGCAGAGCCAAAGCAGAGGTGGGATAAACATTGGTGGGGTGTCAGGAATTAAACAGTTCCAGTGTTTGGGGCTTGTTGTGTTAAATCTTGATAGGGTGACAGAAAAACCCACAAATAATTGAGGGACAAGGAGGTAACGAGGGCTTTAAGGAATTAAATCTCTCCATCCTCAAAGGCTCTGAGCTTCTCAGTACAGGCCCGGAGCTTTTCCTTTCTAATTCTGGTTAAAAACACTAAACTGGGAACACTTCAGTGATTAATACTGTATGCTTTTCAAAAAGAGCTGGGAATTTCAGCTCTTAAATAACAGATTGTGTTATTTTCACTTTATAGTTGGTGAGATGAGTTAAGAATGTACAGAAACCAAGGTGAGGAAGTTTTTTTGCCAGAAACTGATGGAAGTTGCAGGATTTTAAAGGGACAAGTGGCTGTGCTTCCCTTTTGCAAGAGTTCAGGAGGTCCCTGAAATGCAAACTGCTCACTGCATTTTTGTGGGGTTTTGGGGATTTTTTTGGCTTTGTCTCCATCTGTCAGTGGATTGAGAGAAATACCAGAATCCCACATTTCTATTCCTCAGCATAAGCTGCAGATAATTTCAAGAAAGGGAGGAGATAGTGGGTTTGGTAAAAGTAGATATGTAGGATGTGTGGGGATGGATTTGCTCAGTGCAGGAACCAGCAGCAGATATTAACTTATTTACACTTTGGAGAGCTGGGGTGAAGTTTCACCGAGGTTTGTGATCAGTAATCAACCTGAATAAAGTGAATCATATTAAAAAAAAAAAAACTAAAAAAAGCCCCACAGGGCTTTGTTGCCTTCTGGGAAATGAAGTTGTTGGATTTTTGTTGCTAAAACTTTGAGGGACCCAGAAATGGCTGTTTCTGGGGTGGAAATTTGTGGTGAGTGGGAACGCTGTGCTCCCATCTGGAATAATTCCTGAGCTGGGCCCTGGCACAGCAGGTTGGGTTCCTGTCCCATGGCAGATTCTGTGGTTTGGAACTAAACAGCACATTCAGACTTCTCTGTCTGAGTGCTTCACCCTCAGTATCTTCATTTTCTTCTGGGTTGGCTCTGCAATATTTTGAATTTAAGAGACAAGGAAAGATTCTGTTTATCTCAGTTATTGTGTGAGTGTGTTCTCAGTGCCTTTTTAATGAGGATTTTTGTTGATCTCTCTTAATCCCAGTCTTTAAAATAATATATTTACATCCTCCACCACATCCAGGTAAGCCATGTTGAGGACACTGATTAAGCAGGGACTAATTTTGGATAAATCCAGTGTGCTGCAGGTGCCAGAGAAGCTGTTCCTTCCTCCATTTTCCTCTGAAAATACCCAAAACTGTGATGTGCTGGCAGACCTTCCCCTCTCCCCTCACCTGGGCACACCTGGGTGGCAACAGCTCTGTGGTGAAATGGGATTCACTGACACAGGCTTGGAATCTTTTAGGGAATCCTGCAGGACTCAGCAGCAAAACTCCCTGGTAATTCTGCTCCCCCCTCCATTCCTGGGTGGCTTTTAGAGCTCCAGTGTATCCACACCTCCATCTGGAGATGTTAATGCATTAATGCAGAGCAGGGTGAGTGTCAGGGAGGGGGAGGAACTGAGGCACAGGCAGATTACACAGTTTCCAGAGGCATAGAGCACTTACAGGATTAATTGGTGCTAGGCAAGATCGTGGACTTAAATATATTCTTGCTTTGAAGATTTTACTGGGAGCCTGCACAAATGTGTGACAGCAGAACCGGGTTTCAAGCCTGAGTGTAAATTATTGTGATCAGATCTAGCCCACTTAAAACTGGTAGTTCATTTTAATTGAATTGTGTTGGTCTGGACACTTTATGAATACAAAAAGCATCAGCCTTGTCAGTTCCTGCAGGACTGGGTGGGATGGAAATGGATGTGGGTGCAGGTGTCCCCACATTCCAGCTCTCCTCTGGATGCAGGTGTCCCCAAATTCCACGTGTCCTCTCTGATCTCATGGAGAATCTGTTCAGCTCTTTCTGGGGCTGAGCCAAAGCCTGTTGGCATTAATGAATACTCTTCTCTCAGCTGAAGGGAATGAAGGAATCAGGTCCTTTTATCTGAATTTTGGGGAATATGCATGGAGAGCTTTTGGTAGGGAGGGGGTACCAAAAGCTGTGTAGGATGAGCAGCTCCTGGGCCATTCTGGGTGTGATATGAGAGGGAAGAGCCATGGATGGAGAGGGCTCAGCTTTGGAGCTCTGCAGTTGCTGTGTGAGTGTTAAGTTGGGTCATGAAGTCTGTGATGATTTGGGCTGTGAGAGGTACCAGGAAGAAATTTTCTGGTTTGTCATTACTGTCTGTGGTTTGTTCAGGAATTCTGTGTGGGAGGTAGTGGAGAAATGCAGGACATTTATTTAACATGCAGTTTTGGGTATTTTCAGAGGAAAACCTCTTGTCCTCCCCCACAGAGTGCCAAGGCTTTTGGCTTGTGCTGTTCAGTATTTTTGAGCAGAATTGGCCTCTCCTTCTCATGAATGGGTGTGGT